AAGGATGCAAGAGCCACTCCAATGTTGTTTTTTGTTTTTGAAGGCACCCGCGTGGACAATTTAGAGGACACGTGGCCCATTCCAATGCCAACGTAGCACACGTGAGCCGCTGCAGGGGCAAGTGTCGTGCGAACGTGAATGCAAATGAATTTGAAACCTATACCTCTCCTCTTTCCTCACATGTCGCTGTCTCGCTCTCTCCCTCCCGCTGGCCTTGCTGCTTCGTCCCCTGACCTTTCTGCTGCCCCTGATGCTTGTAAAGCCCCCCCGATAAAAAAAATAACGAACAAAAATCCCAGAAAGAGTCCTAAAAATTACCCGAAAAAGATTCCATCCTTTGCGGTGCGTTTTTAAGCTTCAATTCGCTGGCGGTTCACATCAAGGTTCCCATCGAACCGGTTTTTTCCCAGCCATGCTGACTGCTGGTGGGTCCTTTGACTTTTCCTCCTGGCGTTGCGCACGCTCGGCGAACCACGGCGACTTGCCCAGAGAGGCCATGAACGGCTCACCAAGAGTCGTTGAGCGTCCGTGCTCCTCGTAAGGCCAGGAGCCCCTAGTTGCATTCTTGTTACTACTAGTAAGGCACCTGTTACTACTAGCGTGGCACTTGTTACTACTAGCTTCTTGTTCTTAGTAGTAAGGCCAGGAGCCCCTAGTTGCATTCTTGCTCCTAGTCGCGAGGCACAATGCCATGTGTCAAGACTTCTGGGTGGCGCTGTTTGAAACCTTCGAGTGAAAAACCCGACCCGGTGGGACGTGCAACTCAGCGCATCTCCGCAGCGCTTTCCTTCCGTCCGGTCTCGCCACTGGACCGCACTTCGTCCGTCCGAGCTGCGGCTTTCCATTCACGCTTTATTCGCCACTGAGCCACTGCCACCACTCAGCATTTCCAGCAAACTTCTGGAGGATGTGGGCCCCATTTTTTTGCTGGTAAGTTTTTGAATGATTTACACATGCTAGGCAAGCTTCAAGACCAAGCACTGCAGATTCAAAGCTCTTGGGCTGCACAAGCACCGAGGTATGTTTGGAGGTCATCACTTGAAACTACTAAAGTTTTGTTGGTGAATTTCTCCGAAGGACTGTTTCTTTGCCTCCGGATGTTTTCAGGTTCTAATGTCCTGCGTTGGGTTTGGCAGTCCTAACTACAGAAGCCACGCACTAGCAAAATGTAAGTAACATTTTGCCTGGGGTGAGTGTTCAGCCGTTCCCACCTTCATGACGGCGTGCTGAGACGTTTGTAAGGAATCTTGCAGCCACCACGCGTGGTTCAACAACCAAGAATGTGACTTGGGCAGATTTGGGTATGTGTGGATGTTGTAGTTTGATGCCTTGAGGCCATGCTTCTCTTTTTGGTAGAGCAGTGCAGTGATTGGAACACCATCGACCACCAAGCAGACTTGGGCAGTCTTTGAGCATGTTTAAGTTTAGTGTGTTCATCATTTATTTGTATGCTAGGTCGAGCCACGGCTAGACCCAAGGCAATTTAGCCTGCAAGAAGCATGGTGTTTGCAAAGTGTTGTGTATGTCAAGACCGGAGGGCACATTGTTTTGGAACTTTGATTGGCATTCACAGCCAGACTTTGCTTCAAGGTTTGACCGTGTGGCCTGGCCCGATAAGACGCAGAAGAGCATGACGTGAGGTCACTCAGCACCTGAGCATCCACAGCCCTCAGCGGCCAATCTAGTCTAGACTGCTCAAGTGCAGCCTAGCGCACGGAGCAGAAATTCATCTATCCATTTTGTTCTGCTGCCGATGGTGGGCACCATGCCACGGTGCCCCTAAAAAGAAACACAGCGAAGAGTAAGTACGTTCAGAGAAAACCACGTCGCGCAGCAGGGCTGAATTTCATACGACTGAGTTTCAGTCCAATTTGCACTCGCAGCGGGGCCAGTGCACAGATGTTTCAAGAGCAGTCCTGTGCCTGCAGTCCTGTGTTCCTTCCTCTGGATATGGTTCCCAGCGTATGTCATTTTTACGAAAAAAGAATGAACAAGTCTTGCATTAATTGGGACTAGGAACAAGAAGCTACTAGGGGCTCCTGGCCTTACTACTAGGAACAAGAAGCTACTAGGGGCTCCGGGCCTCGCTACTAGGAGCAAGGACGCTACGAACGGGGATTCGGAGCATCCCTTACATGGAAAGCCAGGCTCCATCCTCAATGTTCTTGGCTTCACTTGGACCTTCATGTGGCTTTGCTTCAGCCAACAAAGTACGCTTTTAGAGGTTTTGCGTGTTGGACTAAATTGTTTCCTTGTTTGATGTGTTTTGGTGTTTCACTGTGTTTCTGACCTGTTCTCTTTGCTAAAGAGATTTAAAGACCATTTAGACCGTTATTTCCCTTTCTTTGTTTCTGTTCTGGGTATTTCCTTTCAAATGGCTTCCATTTTGGAGAAGTGCTCCCAAGCTGAATGGCGTTTTCTCGCCAGGCCCGGGTGACAGGAGAGGAGGCAAGAGTCGGCAGATCACATAGCTGTCATGGTTCTCAGTTCACATCTCGCTGACGGTGTGTTTGCTACTAGGAGCGATCGGACGCTCCTAGGGGCTCCTGGCCTTACTACTAGGAGCAAGAAGCTAGTAGCAAAGGGCATCGCTACTAGGAGTACGGACACTACTAGGGGCTCGCTGTGCTTCTGTTTGTTTATAGCCTGCTCCTCATGTCTCACCAGGAGGAATTCAACAAGGAACTGGATGCTGTGTATGGTGAGATCTCCAGCCAAGTCGAAGGCGAATCGAATCGGCCAAACGAAACTTGGCCGTCTCAGTCGATATTCCGACACAATAGAGATCAATCGAGACATCCTACAGTTCTACGCTGAAGTTATTGACAAAGTCTAAATTTCCTGCGTTGCTTTTCGAGAGCTGTGTTGCTCGAGGCTTTGGCTTCTTTGATGCAAAGTTATCTGGGCAATCGCAAGAAGTGTTTCTTGGCGTGTTACATTCGGCCCTACGAGCTTCCATCAAAGCAGCAAGTGACGGAGAGAATGGGATCATGGGGTCATAGTTGAATAGAGACGGAATATCATGTTTGCATGGTTGCTTTTGCACGTTTTCCAAAGCCTTTTTGGTTCGCACACCGTTCTGCAAGTCATTCCGCATGGCATCTTTGTCTGAGATTTCGACAGCAACTTGGGGTGCTCCGGACCAACTGTTTTGATTCCTTGGACCGGACCAACCTTTTGCAGTACCAGGCCGGATTGAGAATTTGCAGGTTGCGAGGTGATTCATAGATGGTTGATATGTGTTCTTGATGGCAGCTTCCTGGTCAATTTGGAACATGGCTGCCTGATGGCTTTCGGCAAGCTAGTATGCAAGTATGCAAGCTAGTAGCAAGGACGCTATTGGGGGTGGAGGTCACCGCTATTAAAAGGGTGGAGGCCATCGCTACTAGTAGCAAGAAGCTTTCTAGTATGTCAGTATGTCTTTGAAGCTTCTTAGTAACAAGAAGCTACTAGGAACAAGTGCATCGCTACTAGTAACAAGTGCCTTACTAGTAGTAACAAGAAGCTACTAGTAGCAAGGACGCTATTGCCTGCCCCTTGGGCCCCCTTGGGCCCTGGGCCTCTTTCTGCTAGGTCACTTGGCGATGGCTTGAAGCCTACATACTTCGTCAACCATCCTTGCAAGGCTTTGCGCAAGCAGTTTCTCCCACGGGAGGCTCAGATGGGTGGAAGGTGCAGGTGTTGGCTTCTTTTCTTCGTTTTGTTTGTGCCCGCTCGACCCTGCCTCCTCACTTAATTAAGTAGGCCTCCTTTGCAACCTATATAATTCAGTAAGGGAGTACTTAGGCACCAAGGGAAACGCTCCTAGCTACTGAACGCAGGATAGCTCACGCTTCTTCCCCCTCTTTCGTGGAGTTTGCCGTTCGACTCTCTTTTGCCTATGTTGGAACTGTGACCACCATCGCGGCATGCATGGTGGTTGCCTGTGACTCCGACGTCGCGGCTTGAGAGTAAAAGGGAAGATCCCCCCGCCTGAGGGCTGGGGGGATCTTGGTTGAAGAAGCGCTCGCATGGACAGGGCAGGGTGGGAGGGGAGAGAAGAAAGAGCAATTTGGAGCATTTGGAGTTGTGGTTTCCTCCAGTGGTTCTTTTGTTCGACCTGGTAGCTGTCCTCAATAAAAAGCTCCTGGTGAATGTATTGAAGACTTTTTTGCCTTCAACCGGCAGCCCAGCAAAATGTAAGCTTTGCAACATCATACCGGTCACGTTGCAAGTTGTTTGTATCAGTGACCGGTTGCTAGGGCTGTGACTGTGCGCTGGTTTGTGGCACTCGCCTGTTTTTCCCTTTTTTGGCTGGGTTGGGCGTTTGGTGCTCGGCCACTGTGTGGTGGGGGTGCATTTCGATGTCCCCTCCGTTCTGTGCGCGACTCGAAAAGATGATTGTTGCACGTCTTCATCGCCCCCCTGTGCGGGTGCAAATGGTTTGGGAGGTGCAGCGAAACTTCTTACAGGGAGTCATCCAGATTGATGCGTCTGGAAGAGTTGACTGTGTGTTTTGCACCACCGCGATTTAAGAACAAACCATCTAAGTTTATCTTAGATTCATTCAATCCAACATCAAGATACAATATAGCATTCTGCAACTCAGTCTGACGGCACTTGATAGAAGCAGAGGAAAGGAGAGAAAGAGGGATAAGAGGCTTGGTGCCTTGATAAAGTAACTCGTGGAAGAATCAATCCCATGACACCCACTTACCTTCCGTTTGCCAACTTCATAGCTTCTTGCGTTGCCAGGATACAGCAAGGGCCTGGCCTTTTTTGACATGGGCAACGATCGTCAGGTTACTCTGCAGAGTCTGTTGAGGAGAGGACGTGCCGCACGACGCGACCTGTGCCAAACGTGGCACTTTGCTTTTCTTGTGCAAAAGCACAGTCCAGAAACACCGAGCACATGTTCGCTACTAGGAGCAAAGGGCATCGCTACTAGGAGCAAGGACGCTACTAGGGGCTCCTGGCCTTACTACTAGTAACAAGAAGCTAATAGAAACGGACTCAGGAGTATGTGGGCAGATCTGGGGGATACTCTCTCGCAGCAGTGCCTTGGCGACCGATCGGCGGTACAGGCGGTCTCAGCCGTGCGTGGAGGACGGGCGGAAGACTTGCAAGTGCCACGTAGCATGCTTTGCTCCTAGTAGCGTTTTGTTTCTAGTAACTAGTAGTAAGGCCAGGAGCCCCTAGTAGCTTCTTGTTCATGATGAATTTGATTGACGTAACAATATGAAGCATTTAGTCGCAGGTACACTGGAGCTGCATCCACGATGGGAGCGGCTCTACGTCAGGGTGGGCACACTGCTCGGGCCATGTTGGAGAAAGGGTGGCGTGCAGTGAACCGCGTTCTTCAGACGCAAGAGTGAGCAGTTCATTTGGAAGGTGCAAATTTGGGAGAATGCAAGAGTTGGCTAGAAAGGACGTGAAAACCACTGCAGGAAAAAGTAAAATTACTGCTTTAAAGAAAAAGAAAAGAACTTTGCCCTGAGAAAATACAAACAATGCAGAAGACTGAAGGCTCCTCAATGAATGCGTCAGAACGCCCCAGAATCAGCTCCCGGGGGCTGTTTTGAATACCATTGACGGTGCTCCTGAGGCTTACTGTGCCCACTTTGAGGATGATGCAAGGCAAGCTGCGCTACAACTTCTACTGGGCAGCCACAAGTTGACTAAGGTGAGATTGGCAAAGCCAGCCCTCAGAAGCAGAATGTGAGGACATTTCACATCAGTTCACGAAAGGTAGCCTCAGCTACCTGAGCTCACCTTGTTTTTGCAAAAAATAAGTAGCTTGATCCCATTGGCAGTTGAAGCCAGCTGCATTGTAGGGCTCAGCTGTCCCTCAATTGTTCGTCTCTTGCGTTTCCTGCTGCGTTTGCTGCTGCTGGCCTGGTGTTCATCCTCAAAAGCCCACCCCTGCCAACCTTTCGTCCAACTCTAGTGACTCTAGTGTCTCAGTCAAAGGTTAGGGCGGGAGACAAGATAAATCGATACAAATCCAAAGTACGAGTGTTTGTAACAATGGCCTCCAACCCAATAAGCGATGGCCTACACAATAGCTTCCAACCTAGAAGTAATGGCCTCCAACTCCTAATAGCAATGGCCTCCACCTACTAGCGATGTCATTCTGGCTTCCCAACATGTTTTAGCCTTTGCCCCGGCTTCGGCTCCTTGTTTGTCCCAGAGTTACTTCAGGTGCCAATGGCAGAGATCCGACGTTGTCCACAAGGAAAGCTTTTGGTTGCAGTTGCCTCCTGGAATCTGCATGGTCATCCCTGCTGGGAATGCCCCGCAACGCTGAAAGGCAAATCTGTTTCGCGGACGACGTCGTGAAGGGTTTAAGGTGACTTTTTCATGACGAAGTTTCTTTTCTGCCTTGGCTTCAATCAGTTGGAATGAAGACCTTGTTGGGTTTTAGAATGTCACCATGCTAAATCACCAACCACCTCTTGGCCGTTTCCGCCTTTTGCTCCGTGGAGGGCACCTGCAGGCCTGATTCAGGGCGCCTCCACTGTGAACGGTGAACAAGTGCATCCTGATATTTTTGTCTTCGCGTTTCAAGAGTTTGCAGACACTTGACCCGCAGAAATGATCTTCTCGGCCTTGAGCCTGTAGGCACTCCGGACCCATATAAATGCTTAAGATTCAGCAGGCACAACGTCCAAGCACTGAAAGCTTTGCAGACTCCAGTTACACAAGGAAGGTCACATTTATGACTTGAAAAGCAAGAAGAATGGGAAAAAAAGCACGTATGATAGTCAAATATGTAACATTATGTATTTAAAAGGTCGTTTTCTTAAGGTTCGCTAGTACGTTGGAGGCCATCGCTAGGTTGGGATGCTAATAGCTTCATGTGTTGGTTCATGGTTCGTCGTTTCCGTTTGAGGAGCTTTCTGCCAGCAACGTGGTCTTGCTGAGTTCCGGGGATGAAGCGCGGCAGTCGGAGTTTGAAGCGAAAGCCTCGACGGCGTTGAACGAGACGGGCGAGACGTTTGTACCAGTACGTTCGGTCGGTGCCTAGACAGCGCAATCCCAACAGCCAGGTGTTGCTTTTAAACAATCCAACCTAGACTAGAAGCAATGGCCTCCAACCTCATAGCTTCCAACCTAATAGCGATGGCCTCCAACCTGATAGGAATGGCTTCCAGCCTAGACAGCCAGGTGTTGCTTTTGTACACTGATTCTTTTTTTCTAGAGAGGACTTGTATTCTTTTCACGGGTTTGTTCCGCAGCTTTGCTGCGTGTTTGCTTTCCTGCTAGCTTGCTTTTCGTTTGTTTTTGCTGCTATTCTTTGTGATGTTGCCTGTTCCTTTAGCTGGTTAGTTGTTCGCTTTTGTGTGTGTAGCATTATGTAGCTATTGGTTCGTTGCTTTTATGTTTATGTACTGACCAAGCGGACATGGGTCATTCGAGAGGCATCATGTGATTGGTTTTGGACAGTCAGGGGCATCAAGGACACAGACAGAGGTTTGCAAATTGGGACACCAACAAGGTTTCCCCATTGATTAGGACCTTGTGGATAAAAGCCAGGTTGCCTTGCAGTTGTCTCCAAGCTACCACCAAAATAGAGTAGCTTTTCTATCTGATATTTTCTCCTCTCTGGGATACAAACTCCGAACGAGCCAGATTCGACCTTTGGGGGCAGCGAGAGCCACGCCAGATGTCGTTCAGCGTTCAGCGTTCGCGTGACGCATGAGAACGTCAAAACAAACGCAGCCAAGTTGAAAGCAGAACATGTCAAACTTCGCAAGCAAATCAGTGCCTCGTACTGGGAACTGCCTTATTGTTGTTTCGTGAGTTCAGGTCATTTAAGACAAGACCTTTGCAACTGCGTGGTGTTTCCATCAAAAGAGCTAGGGTCGGCGGTGGCTCCTGCGGCATTCGCAAGATTCTCCGTATGGCATCGCTGGACTTCACAGTGCCACACGGCCGCTGGCTCGAGAGGATATACTCCCTGGGAGCAACCGAGAGTAGCGATGCCCTTTGCTCCTTTCGGTTCGCGTCCAATCGCTCCGTTCGTAGCGAACATTGCTCCTAGTAGTAAGGCCAAGAGCCTGTAGTCGTTGCGTCCTTGCTCCTAATAGCGACGGCCTCCAACCCAATAGTCTCGCGTAGCAACAATCTGCCTCTGACACCCTCCAACCCGCTTTGCCTAGAGGACCAGCCCAAGCCACGCCATCCAGCAAAGGCTGCGCCCTCCCCACAATACAAGACAGTGCACCGTTGGCGTCTTCCTCTACATGCAGCTGATAGTGCAGCTCATATACTGAAGCCCTGATGATAAGTACCCGCGGCGAACAACAAAGGGAAACGAAGAGCAACAAGAACAAAACCCACAAAGAAACCAAGAAAAGCTACCCTTCTTGCCACAAGACAAATTCCAGAACACAAGGGAGATGAGAACCGAGCCGTTTGCCATACAGTTTCCTACTGAATCCACGCCAAGTTGTGCTCATGGCCTGATGGCCCAAAACTAGTGGAACCGCCCCATTGAAGTCTATAGCTTCTTATTGTTTCTACTAGCTTCTTGTTACTACTAGTAAGGCACTTGTTACTAGTTATGTTGAATGTGGTTTCTCTGAGTATTTGAATCCTTGGTGTGTTCTACGCAGCTTCTTAGCACAAGGTATGGTTGGCCTTGTGGTGGCAGCGTTTGTGGCCTCGCGCTTGGCGAGCTCCATCCGCAGTGTAAGCGCCCAGCGCATCCGTTCTGGACTCTATGGCCAAGCTGGCAACAAGGTGACCAGACGGAGAACCCCTCAAGAGGAGGGTGTCAAGACATGCTTAGGACTTATGTTTTGGCTTTGGGGGTCAATGATGTTCATATCTACATGTCACTTGTTCCATATGGCTCCAACTTTGCAACCTTCCTTGAGAGCGCGACGAGGAGCAAGGGCATCGATACTAGGGGCTCCTGGCATCGCTACTAGGAACAAGGTTCGCTACTAGTGGCATCGCGACTAGTAACAAGGGCATTACCACTAGTAGCAAGAAGCTAGTAGGTTGGAGACCATCGCTGTGCAACGGAGACATGTCTCTTGCCCTCAGGGTGCTGTGGCTGTGACGTTTCAAGTAGAAGAGACTCTCACTTGCAGCTGGGGGATCAGGGCATGTGCAGTCGCCGTGCGGCTTCATGTGATCTGCGGTGGGTACCCAGTAACATTCGCCGCCAAGGACGAGCATTTGTGCTGCATCGGTGCACTTGGAGAGCGGTCAACAAGTCAAGAAGGCTCAGGACGACCATAGTTAGCCTGCATAGCCTCAGCCTGATCACTACGCTGCTACGGCATGTTCACATGATGTTCCATCATGCAATCCCATAAACTCCCGTGCCCTGCCGATACGTTGTACAATTCGAGGATCATGAATGTATGCGTCGTAGAAGTGCCGTGTCTTACGCTGCCATGTTTGACAGAGAGGCTGTCTCCCACCAAAGCCTCGCGGTGGCCTAGAAAGCTGTGCAACACTCGTTTTGAAGTCGTTTTGGTGCCCAACCACGCCCAAAAAGCATTCATCCAAGAGTCTTCATGATCTTCATGCTGGCGTGTGGCCAAACTCAGCAGGCGTTTGCCGTCCTACTGAATTCGTGTGGTCAGACTCATCTCGTGGGAGGAAAGGGCAGATCAACTGCGAGAGATTCTTCACAGTTGGTGCCTCAGACGAGTCGACTGTGACTAGACTGCCCCCCTGTAAAGGTCAGTGGAAAAACCGGTTCCGAACGGGTTCGTTCGGGTAAGGCCTTTGCCGCGACAAGGGTGCAGATCTTGTGGTGCTTAGCGCCATTGCTTCAAGGAGTGTCATCAGATTATGATAGGGCAAAGTCAGTTTCTCTCTACTTCGCTACACCGATGCGCAATGTTTCAAGGTCACACATCTTCATAACATGTATTGCGATAACATGTATCACCACATATCCAGAGAGCTTGAGACCGCAAGCCTCCGAGGCGGCGATTTCAACTTCCGAGCCAATTTTCCAGACGCTTCTGCAAATCCTCAAGCCTTGCGAAAAACCTTGACAGGTGGACTCTTTGGCCGCATCAGAGATCTAGATCCTACTAGATGTGTGAGATCATAGGAAGATTTAGGTACTTGATGCTACTTGTAGGTCTTTGCAAGTAATTTTTGTACATCGAAGTGGATGTTGGACTCGGGTGGTGGCTTGACAAATATGGACTTAAAGCATCTTAAAGCGAGTTACCTGCATTGATAACCGCTCGAGGATGGATGAGTGTGGAACAGGGCAGCCCAGTTGGAATTGCTCAGATTGGAGAAGGATCAGCGCCATCAGCTGAAGAGGTCTTGCGACTCTTTCGTGAAAGCCCCTCGGAAAAAAAATCGGGATGATTCGGGGACGCCAAGAGTTGAATGTACATCTCCAAATGCACTTATGATAACGGGGCCTGCTTTTCTTGTTGCAGTTCAAGACTGGTGTACTTGTTATTTTCTTGCAATTACGAGCTGGCTGCAGCCCACGTGCACACCCCGAGGTGTAACGGTTACAGGCGCGCACCCACAGGAAATCTGATGCAAATAGAACTCTATCTTTGAAGCCGTATCCCAGGCACACTCCATAAACTGGAACTGATGACATGATAACATGTTTGTTTTGAGAAGTGGCAGCTATGGAGATGTCAAGTCGCAGCGAATTCCAAGGTGACGAACTGTATTCAAGTCGCTCTCAGAGCAGGCTTGAAAGAAAAATCCATCCAATATGCAGTTGCAAGCTGTGCGGAAAACGCCATGAGTGTAGCTGAAGCTTCGCTCGCTCTCGTCCTGGAGGCATGCGCTGCAGGAAACTCTGAAGGAGGGGCTCGGACACGGTCAGGCGGAGTCGGAATCTTCAACCAGAGACGTCGCAGGTGGCGGAGTCGGTTGTCCAGCATAATGCGAGCATCAAACCGCTTAGAGAAGACATCGCTCGTATAGGTTGGAGGCCAACGCTATTAGGTAGCACGGGCACATGCAGCCATTGGACCAGTCATTCTTCATCGCTCCTTTCACCTTCCGATTCACGGGCAATGTGAGGAGTTCAGCCTGATGGAAGGGCCCGTGTATTTCCCACCAACATATCGCTTGGTGGAAGGACGTGATGTGTGTGTGTGCGCTCGCGCAGAGGGATGCAGAGGGCCCAATAGGTTTGAAGGACAGACAGGAGATGATAAGAGCTGGAGGTTGTTTGTTCCTGTTTCCTGTTTACAATTGTTTGCCATTGTTACCTCCCCCTTTCCAAAAAAGAATCAAAAAGACCTTGAGACGGTTTTAGACTTGTTCGTGGCTGTTCGATTCGTATGATTCTTCTGTCTTCCTTTGCAGGACAGGCGGCCTATGATCTTGAAAGACAGCCAGCCTGGTGCGACCGTGTGTTGCACTCCAAGGTCAGTGTCCAGCGAAAGAGTTGCTCGGACGTAGCTGCCAGGCATGGTGCGACGAGTTGTCAAGCACCATGATCGATATATATATATATATATATATAACTATATACAATTATGAATGATTTCACACGTTCCCCCCCCAAAAAAAAAGAACCCACAGAGTGGCTGCTCCAAAAAATAGAAAGAGCGAAAGGGTGTGTGTGTGTGTGTGAGTTTTCCACATGCCGATGACATGCATAGTCATAGTCCTTCTCTTTCCAGCAGGGGATGCCAGGGAGCCATGCGCATGCCATGCAAATCTTGCCATAAGTACCTCCGGCGCACCACCTCCGCCCCGATACTGAAGCAAGGACGCTACGAATCTAGCTCCTGGCCTTACTACTAGTAACCAGAAGCTACGAACGTAACAAAGGGCATGGCTACCAAACAGAGCAATCGGACGCGAACCGAACGTACCAAACGTTTTCAGCCCTTGGATCGCTTTTGGGAAGTGCCAATCGTGCTACGTTCGTAGCGATGCCCGTGTGCCCCGTTCGGTTCGCCTCTGATCGCCTTGGGTTCACCGCCTTGTCTTCCGGTCCATGAGGTTCAGTCGGCACACTCGCGAGCAATGCTTTCACATTCTGAAATGCAATTCGGCTTGGTTTTTCTTCCCCATTCCCAACGCTTTCTGCAGCCCCTTCGGCCGTGGACGTCAATCGAAGTGAGGTTACTGCGCCTTGGGACTGGCCAACTCAGATCATCGGCCGGTGTGTGCCCTTTGGCCAACGGGAATGTGGCAAACCCGCTTCCAGCCTAGCGACGGCCTCCAACCTAGCGATTACCTCCACCCTAGAGAAGAAAGAAAGAGTAAAAGAGCGTAAGAGGATGGAATTTGGTCTGAGAATTTAGGTGCTAAACAGCTGTCCGCCTGGCAAAGGGTGGGAACAGGTGCGAAACCGAGTCATCCAAGGCAGTGCTTGAGACTTTGTTATTGGCGATGCCGCAAGAGGCACAATCGCAAAAGTCGCCCAGTCCGTCTAGGCAAGGCCAGAAACACACTGACTGAGACCTGCACAAAGACCCAACAAACAGAGACAAAAGGCGGCAGGAAGTTAGCGAATAAATTGTTTGAAAGGCATGGATCTTAAATCACGCAAGCACTCCTGTAGAGGACACCAGAAGCAGAAAGTCAGCCAGCTGAACTCCCGGATTTGCTCGAAGTTGACTCGTTTGGGAGTCCAAGTCCTGTCGAAGGATCCAAGGACCAACCCTTTTGCAAAAATCGGTTTTGAATTGATTGGTTTGCCAAACGACCCGCGCTGGCGCTCCGCTTTGCCTTGTAGGGCGAATCCAGTTCTCGACCAAGTTCAGAGGTCGGAAGCCCAAGACGTTTGTTCAAAGAGACGCTACTAGGAACAAGTGCATCGCTAGTAGGAACAAGTGCCTTACTAGTAGTAACAAGAAGCTATTAGAAACAATGTTCGCTACTTATTGATGAAGGCCATCGCTACTAGGTTGGAGGTCATCGCTACTAGGGTGGAGGCCATGGCTATTAGGTTGGAGCCTCCAATGTAAGATTTCTTCGAAAAGACGTCCGTGAAAAGAATTGTCGCTGTTTTCTTGCCACCTCATGGTTCCGAACTATGTCTTCAATTGAACTCGAGCCAAGACGTCCAGTGAAAGGTGTCCAAAGTCATTCTTTGCGAGGCTGGTGCAACTCCAAGCCCCGTGCACGTCCAAGATGCCAAGAAGCACTTGCTCAAGAAAGCAAAGAATAAGTAGGAGCAAGAAGCAGCTACTAGTAACAAGGGCATCGCTACTAGGAACAAGTGCATCGCTACTAGGAACAAGTGCATCGCTACTAGTAGCAAAGTTTACTATTTATGTACAAATGATGACAAATGTATTTTTGGGTGTTGATCTGAACTCAAACTATCCTTTAACTTGTCTCTAATCACAGGGGGGATTTTGCAAGAATAAGTTCCAAGCAATTTCCAGCATGTGCAGTGTTTGGGTCACACCAAAACGTGCTTCGCAATGGTCACAATCCCTGCGGGTTCCTTAAGATCCATGTCAAGCACTAAGGAGTTTCTGGATTTGGGGCAAGTGACCGGGAACCTTCAACCAGGAGCCGTGCAAACAGTCATACAAGAAGAAGTGTGCAAGTTAAGTTCGATAAGTAGTTCTATGATGTTCTGTGTAATTTATTGCTCAAGCTTTGAAACATTCAGGACTTTAAGAGAAATTGCAGCAGCATAGACCCCAGAGAGCAAAACATATTTGCAGGTAGCGTCCTGCAGCGGCACCAGTACCCAAGTTCAAAGCACACACAGGCACCCCCTCCTATATATACATGGAGTATGAACCCCTGGCCCCTCACTGTCTTGGGAAAAAGGGAAACGAAAAAAGGTCAGAAGATGAACGGAAAGAAAAGGAAACATTGATCAAGTTCTATACCGATCCAGTTTGTTATTTTTGGACGGCAACAACATCAAAAGCGCGGGTCAGCCAAGTGTTCGCCCGGTGTGTGAGGGTCAGGTAGGCCGTGAGAGGCTTAAAGTAAGCCAACAAGTAAGGAGTAGTTACTAAGTTTCAGTAGCTACTAAGGGGCTCCTGGCCTTACCACTCTACTCTACTAGGAACAAGGACGCTGCTACGGGCTCCTGGCATCGCTACTAGGAGCGTTCTTACTAGTTACTAGTAACAAGAAGCTATTAAATCTATTTTACATTAATTCTAATAGCTTTTTGTTACTACTAGTAAGGCACTTGTTACTA